TATGCCACAGTGCTGGCCCCCTATTTATTTCTTTTAAACTTATTTTTATTTATTTGAAAGAGAGAGATGGAAAAAGAGAGAGACTGATCTTATATCTGCTGGTTTACTCCCCAAATGGCCACAGTCGCCACGGCTAAAGCCAGGAGCCAGGAGCTTCTTCTGGGTCTCCCACATGGGTGCAGGGGCCCAAGCACCTGGGCCACAGCAGAGAGCTGGGTCAGAAGTGGAGCTGCCAGGACTGAAACTGGCGCCCACATGGGATGCCAGCATCGCAGGCAGAGGCTTTCCCCACTATGTCACAACACGGGCTCCTCATGGCTTCTGTTTATAATGAAATCACTTGAAAAGAAGATCATCAGAATGTGTTTTTAAAATTAATTTATTTCAGAATGCAGAGGGAGAGCGAGTGAGCGTCCGTTTGCTGGTTCACACCTAATGCCTGCAATGGCCTGGCCTGGGCCCAGCTGAATCAGGAGCTGGGAGTCCAGTGTGGGCAGCAAGGACTCGTGTATTTCAGCAGGAACTGGATCCAGGAGCAGAGTGGCACCACCACCCTGGCACCCTGATCTGGGATGTGGACATCCTAAGTGATGTGTTAACCCCTGTGCCAAACACACACCCCATCAAAATACCTTTTCTTAAAGATATATTTATCTTATTTGAAAGGCAGAGTTACACAGAGAGAGAGAGAGACAGACCTTCCATCAGTTGGTTCACTCCCCAAATGGCGGCAGTGGTGGAGTTGGACAGATCTGAGGCCAGGAGCCAGGAGCTTCCTCTGGGTCTCACGTGGGTGCAGGGGACCGAGCACCTGGGCCATCTTCCACTGCTTTCGCAGGTGCATTAGCAGGGAGCTGGTTTGGAAGTGGAACATCCGGGACTTGAACCCACGTCCACATGGGATGCTGGCGATGCAGGCCACAGCACAGGCCCCTCATCAAAATACCTTGAAGGGGCTACTTCAAGGAACTGATAAACTCAGGCCACTTTCTACTCCTCAGTTCTTTGTCTGCAGTGGGAGGAGTATTTGGAGACCGGGAGGATTTGGTCCTGGCAGGCTGGGAGGGGGAGGCGCTGGAGGACTTGGGTCAAGTGCCATCGGGGGCCGCGGGTTCCGGAAGATGTGACTAGCTCACCCTTGAGGAGCAGCCCAGGGCCCAGCGGCTGCCCTGCCCTGGGAGGACACAGCGCCAACCTCCCAGTGCACGTGGGTTCTTCGGTGAGTGCTTCCTCCCTGCTGACCCCTGCCCTGGACACTGGGGCCAGCAGCCCGGCTGTGGCTCCTCTGAAGGCCCCACTCCCTGATGGCAGGTCCCCGCCCCTGCACACGGCCCAGCCTGGCTTCCACCTTCAAGGCTGGGCCCTGCGGGTCAGGAGCACAGGCAGTGTTGATTTCCAGCCCGTCTCTCCCCCACGTGCCTGGTCAGCCCCGTCCCGTGTGCCACCACTGCCCTGAGGGACCGTACCCTGGCTCTGTGGGACCACACTACGCGTGCTCCCAGGGGAGCCTCTGGCCCACCTGCCGGCTGGCCAGCGGATAGGGGCTGAGTCTGCGTGCTTGGCCCCAGCACTGGCAGCCGGGCAGCGGGCAGTTTCCACGCTGTGGATGGGTCCCGCACGCTCTGCTCACCCTGTCCACGTCCTTCCCGGCCCGGGCCTTGGTTCAGGCTGTCCTCGTGCCCTCTTGCCTCACCCTTGAATGTGGCCCCCGAACTGGCTCCCCCTCCTGCCCTAACCCGCGAGGCGCAAGAGGCAGCGCTTGCTTAGCACTGGGTCTGGTCTTCTCCCTCTGTACAGCGGTCGGCCTTCCTCCCGTGGGGACGCACTGACCCCAGCCTCTACTGGCGCGTGGAGCCGGCGGGCCATGGGGTCTCCTGTGCCCAGCCCCTCCCCCGCCCGCCCCGGGCGCTCTGAGCTCTTCCCTGGGCTGAGACCCGCGCCAGAGGCCCCGTCCTGCCCATGGGCAGTTTGCACGTTTCATGGAGGAGGGTGTTGGGATTTGTGGCCGCTGCGAGGGCCCCCGCGAACTGTGCTGCGGGAACTGCTCAGTCCCTGCCGTTGAGGGCGTCTGTTTTCTGTTGTGCGAAGTTGATATCCGGACAGGCTGCGAGTGTGGAAGCAGATGTGTTCGGGCGGGAGCAGGCGCCCCTCGGCTCTCCGTGAACGGATTCTTCTCTTTAACCCCTCCCGGGCTTTCTGCTTCCTGCGTTGCCTGCTCTCCGTCCCCTACACGACCTTGGGCAGGGGTGGTGGCGCGCGCCATCAGCCCCGCAGGACGGCCTCTCGCGTTGTGGCCGTGGCTCTCTGGTTCCCACTCACATTTCTGCAAGGTCACAGCGTTCTCATTCCCGCGGGTGGTGGGCAAAGGCCACACGCGGGATGCCAGTGTCCTGGGCAGTAGCTTAACCAGCTGTGCCACAATGCCAGCCCTGGACTTGCTACTACTGGAACAGCAACGGGCGAGGGTGCGGAATATGTACCCGGGTAGTTCTGAAAACCAGAAGCAGGAAAAGTCTCTTCAGTAATCACCAAGGGGCTGGCTGACACGGCCATCACGTGTTTGAGTTCCTGCCACCTGCTTCAGACCCAGCTCCCTGCCTGTGCGCCCGGGAAAGCAGCCGGCGATGGCCAGCACTTGGGCTCCCGTCTTCTGGGAGACCCCGATGGAGTTCGCAGCTCCTGGCTTTGGCCCGGCCCCGACCTGGCTCTTGTGGCCGTCTGGGGACTGGACCGGCTGATGGAAGATCTGTCTCCTCCCGCTCTCTGTCACTCTGCCTTTCCAATAAATACAACATCTTAAAAGCAATTATCGGCCGGCGCCGTGGCTCAATAGGTTAATCCTCCACCTTGCGGCGCCGGCACACCGGGTTCTAGTGCCGGTCGGGGCGCCGGATTCTGTCCCGGTTGCCCCTCTTCCAGGCCAGCTCTCTGCTATGGCCAGGGAGTGCAGTGGAGGATAGCCCAGGTGCTTGGGCCCTGCACCCCATGGGAGACCAGGAAAAGCACCTGGATCCTGGCTCCTGCCATCGGATCAGCGCGGTGCGCCGGCTGCAGCGGCGGCCATTGGAGGGTGAACCAACGGCAAGGGAAGACCTTTCTCTCTCTGTCTCTCTCTCTCACTGTCCACTCTGCCTGTCAAAAAAAATAAAAATAAAAAAAAAAAATAAAAGCAATTATCACAGGAAGCCTTTGATACGGTTACACTAAGGACGCTGCCAGTTTCTGTGACGCTGTGGCGGTGAGAAGCGGTCACCGTGAACTGCCAGGCGCCGCAGCCGTTGGAGGACACCGTGCGGTGCTTTGTGTCGCAGACCACCGACGCGTTCTGCACTGCTCGGCTCAGGCCCGGACTCCAAGAATTCACCCTCAGAATTCCCACACGTGGCGCTCAGTGTACACCTTGTGTCCTCCTACTCAGGTGTTAACTCAAGCTGGGGCCGCCGTCCTGGCTTAGTAAATTCAGTTTTATCGGAACACAGCCGCGCCCGCCCTCCGCCGTGTTCTTCCAGGCCGCTTTCACACGGCGGCGGCTGCAGCACGGACACTGCGGGTCAGAAAGCCAGAATGTTTGCTCGCTGGTTTCTCGCCGAATACTGTCTTTTAAAACCCGGATTGTGACATCACCGTCTGTGCGTCAAGTGAGTCGCGTCCTGGCCTGCGGGAAGCTCCGGGTGCCCCCTCCCCGGGAATTCCGTTTCTGTCCTGGCGTTGTGACCAGACGACCTGGCCGGAGGCGGCTGATTTGGCCCGTTGTGCTCTGCGCTCTCGTTGGTCAGCTGATCCCCACTTCATTGTCCTAAAATCATCAGGCTACACCTGTGCTCAGAAACCCATCCCAGCCGGCTCCCTTCACGGTGACTGAGCAGTGCGTGCTCCGTGCGGAACTGGTGGTGCACGCGGACGGACTGGGGGCAGCCATGAATTCTTCCTGCCTTCCAGACACCTGATGTCGACTGTGCTGTGAGACCTTCTCCCCAGGCGCACACAGACTGCGTGACGAATGCAATTTCTTTTCTTTCTTCCCTCCCTCCCTCCCTCCTTTCCTCCCTCCCTCCCTTCCAAGTCAGAGTTACACACAGGTAGAAGCAGAGGCAGAGAGAGAGAGGTCTTCCATCTGCTGGTTCACTCCCGAGATGGCCGCAACAGCCAGAGCTGTGCCGATCTGGAGCCAGGAGCCAGGAGCTTCTTCCAGGTCTCCCACCAGATGCAGGGTCCCAAGGACTTGGCCCATCTTCTACTGCTCTCCCAGGCCATAGCAGAGAGTTGAATCAGAAGTTGGGCAGCCAGGACACGAATTGGCACCCGTATGGGATGTGGGCACTGCAGGCGGAGGCTTTACCACTACACCACAGCGCCAGCCCCATAAATGCCAGTATTCACGTGGGTGCTCAACATCGTTTGCCGTTAGGGAAATCCTGCCAGTGACTGGCGGCCCAGAGCCGAGCAGTGTGTCTGACGGGCAAGTGGCTGCTGCCCACGACGGAGGCGGCAAGCACCGCGCTGACCACGCGCGTTCCCGGCTGAGCCCTGCCTTGTGCTGTCGTGTGGCATCCGTGCCTCCTGCCCCCGAGAAGGTGTCTCAGGCTGTCCCACAGCCCCTGCCAGGGTCACCGCTGCCCCCTTCTGTGCTGTAGAGGGGAGGTGAGCAGGATGTGGGTGCCCGGGGGCCGCTCTAGGTGCTCCGAATGCCGGGTCCCGGGAGTGACAGTGAGAACCCTGACTGGGTCGGAGCGTGGGAGAGGTGGGGACCTGGAGCCCTGCTGCGCTGGCTGCTGGGGGCGGGGGGCGTGCTGTGGCGCAGCTACTGTGGGAGCAGCATGGAGGCTCCAGACTCTACAGCAAATGGAAGCAGGGACTCAATCAGATCCTTGCACACCCATGTGCACAGCGGCGCCACAGCCAGTGGTGGAAGCAGCCCAAATGTCAATGGTTGAGAAGACAGACGGAATGGAAGCTACGCACACGTGGGACACGGCCCAGTCCCGCGGAGGAGGGGGATTCTGGCACACGCTACAGCACGGACGAACCCACAAGTGGCCCGGCTGAGTGAAGTAAGCAAGACACAGAAGGACAGATTTCCTGCGATTCTCCTTACCGAGGTCAAACGCACACGGAAAGCAGAGTAGTGGGTCTGGGGCTCAGGGGAGGGGGCGAGGGCAGGGAGTGTTCAGGGGGGACACGATGGAAAGTTCCGGAGGCGGATGGTGGTGATGGTTGCACAACGATGCAACTGTAAGTAAGGGGAACGGGAGCGCGCCGCACACGTGCATGGCGCCAGCGGTGCCTTTTGTGGTCTCGCGTGTTTCATCACAACTTCCCGCAGCCGCGGCTCCCGCACACCCTCGCCCGCCCACAGGTCCCTGGGGGCTGGCAGCTCTCGGGGCGCCCAGGGCCTCCCCGCCAGCCCTTGAACTTGCTGCGAACCTCACGGCCCCTGCCCTGCTCCCCGGCAGCTGGGCTGTCGTAAATAACAGTGATGACGCTAACGAGGAGAGCGGCGCAGGATGCCGCGGAGGCCCGCAGACTGCCCGGCGCGCTGGGGAGTGAGGAATGTCGCGTCCGGGGGACTGCTTTATGTACTCGGCGGTGATAAATCATAATAATTAAATATGGGCCCACATGCTGGAGACTCATTCCCCTCATTCCACGCGGCATCGCAGGAAGACGGAGGCAGGGCGGGGAGCCTTGGCCCCGGGGCCCCGCCTGGCCTCCAGCCAGCGTCCCGTGAGCACGCAGGCCACAGTGGGGGCTGGGAGTGGCCGCCTGGATGCAGAGCCCCCGGAGCCCCGGAGCCCCAGCTGCTGATCCTGCTGGTCCCTCCCTGGCTGGGACGTGTGCGTCATCACACGCGCTCCGCACGCGTGATCCCCACTGAGCTCAGTCCTTGGGCGCGGAGAGGCTGAGGCTGGGAGCCCGGCCTGGACCGTTGGTGGCCGCTCGCTGGCGTGGGCACGGGTCAGGCTGTGGAACACATTGTTCTGCCTGGGCGTCCCAGGGCGACACGTGTCTCTCACACGGGCAGCGTCCTCGGTGGGCCGGCTGGGGTGCACGGGTGCAGAGCCAGCCCTACAGGCTGCTCCCGCCTCCCCACACAGCCCTGCCTGAAGACGCTGCCTTGCCCAGTGGGGGAGCGACCAGCTCCGTCACCCAGAGCCATCCAGCCCACCTCACCACAGTGCCCACGATGGCCAGTGCTGACCTTTGGGCCTGGACCATGTGCTGGGCATGGGTAGGCTGTTCAGTGTCCCCAGCCTCCACTCACGTGCTGTGGTGACACCAAACGTTCTGCTGGATTTCGCCACACGTCCTGATGGGGCAAAGTTGCAACCCTCTGAGAACCCCTGGTCACATCCTGTGTCACTCAAGCCCCAGACCGCCTCCCAACGTGACGAGCGCTCAGCTGCCCGCCTCCCACAGTGCACGTCGGGTCGGGGTCTTGGGCTTGTATGCAAGTGCACGGCTCCGAACCCCAGTTCAGGGAGGCTTGTTCTGCCCATTCTCAGGCCTGGCTTAGGATAGCCCTAAGGGACATAGCCCCTGGCCTAGGATAGCCCTTAGGCCAGCAAGGGACAGCGCTGCCCCACCCCCGATCAGTGATTGACATGTGGATGGGACTCCCTGGGCCTTTCAAGGAGACGAGGGCAAGGGTGACTCCCGCGTTTCTCTCCCTGGCAGACTGGAGAGGAGGAGGAGCTGATGAGGAGCAGCGGAAGTGACCTCTTGGCCGTGTGAGGGAGGCAGAGCTGGAGTGGGCAGCGAGGGCAGTGGGCAGGGCCGGGTGTGGCACAGGATGGGCTGTGGGCTGTGGGGCACGGGGGGCTGCAGGTGTGGGAAGAGGCTGGGCCCCACCTCAGACAGCTGGGGACGCCGTGACGTAGCTGCCTGGCCAGCTGCCGACTGCTTCGTCCCCACGGCTCGGACGTCACTTCTACGGGCTGGGCATCCCTGATCTGAAACTTTTAAATCCAAGATCTGAGCTCCCCGAGGGTGGCTCGCGGGCAAACCAAAACGCAGGTGACCGGACATCGTGCACAGCTCCCTTCAGGCTGCGTGGTGAGGTCCCAAGACGCCACATCACCCAGGTGCAAACATTCCCGAACCCGAAATCCGAAACTCTTCAGGTCGCAGCACTTCGGATGAGGGACACTTAGCCCGCATCATCTCTTATGCCCACAGCCCAGGAGGGCAGCCCTGATTCCAGGTTCTCCAAGAGCCCATGGACTCGGGTCCCCTGTCCCGCAGGGTCCTGGTGGCCTTGTAAAGGGGCATCCATGGCCTTGTCTATGTGACAGGGGATGGCTGAGGGGGCGTGCAGGCCGCATGGAGACTGCCAGGCCCTGGAAGAGTGACCGTCCCTTGTCCACCAACCATGTACCTTGATTGCATGAGGAGGACACAGAGCCAGACGTGGACGCTGTTCCGAGGCCCTGAGATCCCGGGTCGATGGGGTGAGGTTCACAGCCACCCTGTAAGACGAGGCTGAGGGCCTCCAGCAGGACTTGGGGCACCCGGTGCCGGCTCAGCGCAGCGCCAGCTGGGAAGGTGCCCTTGGAGTGGCCCCTGAGTGCACTTTGCCCTTGCTCAGGCACTCGGGGGTGAGGAAGGGACTGGGGCAGAGGGAGCAGCCCGGGGCCAGAGCAGAGCTGGGGTGAGGAAGGGACTGGGGCAGAGGGAGCAGCCCGGGGCCAGAGCAGAGCCGGGGGCGGCCAGAAGGGACCTGTCTCCCTTGACAAGCGCCCGTTCCTGCACAGCTGGCCAGCGGAGACCTGGCACAGCTGCCTCTGTCAAAGCCTGCCAGTGCGGCTGCCCGGGCGGCCGTGATCGGGGGAGGAAGGCGTCCAGTTCAGTGTGGAGCTGAGGTCAGCAGGATTTTGCGCGTACCGCCTACATCCCACGTAACCTGACACTGCCACCAGCAGGTCTCCGCCCTGGAGAACAACACACGCAGAGCCCAAGCCCAAGCCCAGGCCGCCTTTGATCTGGGGACACAAGAGACGCAGCCGCAGGCTCCAGCCCTGGGTCCGGGCTCCAGGCCCAGGCAGGGCTCACTCTGGAGTTCTCAGAGAGAAGCGGGAAGGGCAGTGCCAGGCGCTGTGCTGACAGTGGGGGTGGGGCGGGCCGAGTGCCCACCAGGGTGCCAGGGCAACGGTGGGCGGTCCCCGGGAACTCTGGGAAAATGCCCCAGTGACTGAATGTGATGTCGCTGGACTCTGGCACTGAGACGAGTTAATGGGGGAGGGGGAGGGGCGGCCAGGGCGGGAAGGCCCCGCCCCCAGGCTGGCAGGTGCTGTTCACCTGGAGAGGTGTGAAGGGACTTGCCCCTTATCGCTCCCCCCCACCCCCCGCCCCCTGCAAGCCCAGGCCTGCCCCTCCGTCCTGACACCCTCCTGCCCAGCCCTGGTGGCCACCAGCCACCTGCATGGGCTCTCAAAGTCGTCCCTGGAGAGGCCCTGAGGCCTCGTGAGCGCCTGTGACGGGGGAGGGGCTCCACTCTGTGGGGGAGGGGCTCCCCCCCCCAGCCCGCAGGGCACAGAAGTGCTTGATTCTCAGGACCTGCTCCGCCACTCGGGATCAAGCCACACTGAAATGGTATTCAATCGAAATTCTCTATATGAGAGATTTTCAAAAAATTCCTGGAAAATATATATTACGAAAAACGCTATTCACAATTTAGAAATATCTCGCATCCAAAGCAACAGCTGAGTCTGGGAAGTCCCCTCTTCCCCGGGCATAAGGCCACAGGCAGCGTGGAGGGCTAGCATGGTTTGGAGGCAAATCAGAGACAGGGCTGGGAGGGTGGGGCCGGGCCAAGCCCAGCGTCCCCCACGCAGCACGCGTGTGCTCTGTAGGCTGATGGGATGGGATGAGGAAGGGGCCATGCCACAGCCCACCGAGCAGGCGGCTCCCGTGCGGGTCTGTGGGGACCTGGGGAGGAGCGCAGGCGTCCCCGAGCCGAGCCTGAATCTTCCCAACCACAAGGCTGGCGCCATGGCTGCTTCTCCCCAGAGCACCCCGCAGTCCCCAGTGGGAGCCCTTTCCCCCGGGACGACGTCACAGCCAGCAGGTGCAGCTGCAGCCCTCAGCCAGTGGGCGGCACCAGGCCAGATGAAGGGCTAAGCTAATTATGTGGCACCGGGCTGCTCTGGCCTGGGCAGACGCACAGACCCCTCGGAGTGAGCAGAGAGGGGGCTGTGGAGGCCGGAGTCGCTGACTGAATGCGTGGCCGTTCTGAACTCTCGTACCCGGGAAATTGAGAACAGCCCATTAGGAGGGAATGAGAGCTGGCTACAGAGATTAGCATAGCAACCCTATTACCAGAGCGCAAGGAGACTTCCCGCTTCCTGCTGCCCGGGCACCATCGGCTCGTCCGACGCCAGGCGTGGAAGCCAGGCTCCAGTGCTGTCACCACAGACGTGGGTTCCGTCTGGCTGCAGTGAGTGGCGGTGGCGGCGCAGACGGGCGGGGTGAAGGTGCTCGGAACAGGGGCTCCCCGGGTGCAAATCCCTCCCGTCCCTGCTCCCCACGCCTCCGCTGCTCGTCTGTCCTAGACACGCCGGCGCGTTCATTCATGGAGACGGGCTTTTTGGAGGGTGGTGTTGATGGCCTTGATGCCATGACGCCATGACTCGGGTGATGCGCCCAGGGAAGGGAGTAAGTCCAATCCCGAGGGTGGTGCGGAGGGCGGGGCCAGGGCTTGGGCCGGGGTCACTCAGAACCCCACTGCGCCTGGAGGTGGCCCAGGCGTTGCAGGTCCCCTCTGGCTGGAGGTGGCCCAGGCGTTGCCTTGGGGGGGGAGCTGTCTCCCTGTCTCGCCTCCGCCTGTGTTTGGGCGCCGCCTGTCACCCCGGCACGGGGGCGCTCGGCTTCCGACGGGCGGGGGGTTGGAAACTCCACTGACCTGCGCTGGTTTCAGGAATATTGCTGATGGGAACAACAGAGGGGAATCTAAATTCCAACCAGTATAGAATATTAAATTGCGCCTTCAATGTTCTTTTAAAAAACAGTTATGTGTTTACCTGAAAGGCAGAGAGACTGAGAGAGAGAGAGAGAGAGAGATCTTCCATCCACTACAGCAGCGGGGGCTGCAGCCAGGAGCCGGGACCGGCCGTGCTCTGGGGGGTGAACCAGCAGAGGGAAGCTCTCCCTCCCGCTCCCGCTCGCTCGCTGTGTCTCTTTGCCTTTCCCATAAAATGAAAATAAAGAAATAAAAGTTAAAAGTCTTCTTTTCTGAGAAACGGCCAGCAGCCCTGAAGTGACAAGGCCCGCGGGCGCGCTCTGGTGTCGCCCGACTTCCCGAAGCGAGCACCACGCCCCCTCACGCCTCTCCCCGAGCGCTGTGCCCTCTGCTGACCCGTCTGCCTCCGTGCCGTTTCCTGCATACACGGATCACCCACGCACGCAGGCCTGTGCACACATGTGGAAAACGGGGGCTCGGGAGAAGCAGGGGCTACGGAACGGAACGTCGAGACCACGCAGACTTGGTGGACCAGCACCTTCTCCCTGAATGTTAGCGACAACGAAGAGACCCAGCTGCTTTTCTCCCGGAAAACAAAGGCTTGTTAAAGCCATTCCGAGAAAGGGTCATTTCGGCCGCAAGATCCAGCTGTGTGCCCCTGCTGGCAGCCCTGGGAGGCTAACGGTGCCTGCTGACTGCTCACAGCTGCGATGAGAACCAGCCTATTTATAACCCAGAGACGTTTCGCTTCTGAAAGTTACACCAACTTTTATAGAAAAAAATTTGAATTTTGAGTTGGGGCAGCATTTGACTTTCTGCTGGTTTCCAGTAAGGCACCTCGGCCCAGGCTCTCGGCTTCTCTGAATTAGACAGGTGGCTCCCGGCCGGGAGACACGCAAGCCCCTTTGCCTCGTGAGTCAGGTTACTGAGCACCTTAGCACCTGAGGGCTAAGCCGTGAGGAGGAGCCGAGGCCTCAGCGGGGTCCCCGCCTTCCCTGGGCCTCGTGGCCGGCAGCACAGTCTGCACCCGGCACCACCGTGGCCGTGGCGGCTGCACGGAAGACCTCGCGCGCCCGGCTGCCCCACCGCAGCCTCGCCTGTGGCTCTCCCCTGCGTGTCATGGCTGGCCTGCAGGACACCGGCCAAGGGGCCGGCTCCCTGGTACTGCTCCCTGGAGCCATCCTTGCTCTCGGCTGAGCCTGGAGTCCCCACGCAGCCCTCGTCACAGCCCGCATGCTGAGCCAGGACTTTGTGGAGCGCCACCCACGAGGACGGGGGTCCAGCACTCTGGTATGAGGTGCAGCTGTCCCGAGCGACACCTTAGCTGCTGCACCAAACGCCCACCTTGCAGGTGTAACGCTGGTGTAAAGTTTTCACTTGATGGGCGATGCCAGCATCTCATCATTTCAATTTCTTTCTCTGGTCACATGTACGCTCATGCTTCCGAAATCTCTCTTCTGCTGGGAGTTACCTGTGCCTGCTGCTCGCCTGCCTGCCCCTAGGGGTCCTGTGATTCTCCTAATCTGTATGTGGTCTTTGTGCAACAAACGTACCCAGCTCCCATGGCCTCTCCCCAGCCCACACGCGACGGGGCCGCCTGGCCCACCGCCCCCAGCCCAGGACAGATGCTCTGAGCCTGTCTCTGCGGCGGCTCCTCGTCCTGGAGGAGTCTCCGGGCAGACTCACTGTTTATGAGGGGCCCGGTCCATGTTTACTTTACTTTCACTGGGTTTCTCTGACAGCTCACTTCCGCCACCCCCAAGGAAAACACATCATCGGCTTTCGGGGCCCTGGGGAGCGCTCGCCCCGAGCCGGCTGCACCTGAGCCTGCATTTCTGTGGACATGTCGCAGACATGAGGGGCTTGTCTGGGCCTGGTGGGGGCGGTGATGGGCGGAGGCTGTGAGCCGTGAGGGGTTCTGGCTCGCGGGGTGTCCCCCCCGACCCCTTCCGGGGCGTGCACTGCAGGATGCCCTCTCATGCCATCCCACGCCACCTCGCAAGCCAGGGACCCGTGAGTGAGGGTTCCGCCTGCAGACTCGGAACCAGCCGGAGCCTGATGGGACGGGCCCGGTCCTTCCTTCTCGGTGGCCTGAGAAGATGCGCCATGGTGGCCCCGTCCACCCGGGCGCTCTTGTTCATATCAGGGGAAGAGTCATCGGCTCTGGCGCTCCGTGGCACTCCGTGCCCCTCTCACTGGGCCAGAGGAAGCCCCTCGTCCGCCCAGGACGCACAGCCCGGGTTGGCTGCCTCTCCAGTTGCTGAACCCGTCATCACTCTCATCCATAAAAGCTGCTCTGGGACGCAGGCGTCTTGGGCCTGCAGATGCTTTCGTATTTTCCCAGAAATTGGCCGAATGCCTCTCGCCCTGGCTGTTGCGCTTTGCTTCCAGCCGGGAGGCTGCAGGGCTGCCCGCACCAGGAGGGAGGGGACTGTCAGAGCAACGGCGGCCAAACCACAACCGCGCCCTGAACGCCCGCGTCTCGGTGCTCCAAGTTCCCAGGGAGGGCATTCGAGGGGTGAAGGAGATGCGAGAAACACGCACATGCACACACACAACCATACATGCATGTACATGCACACACACACCTACACACATACACAATCATACATGCATGTACATGCACACACCTACACACATGCACACACAATCATACATGCATGTACATACACACATACACACATACAACCATACATGCATGTACATGCGCACACACCTATACACCTACATATACACACATACAAAATCATACATGTATGTACATGCACACACCTATACACCTACATATACACACATACACAACCATACATGTATGTACATGCACACATGCACACATGCAATCATACATGTATGCACTTGCACACACATACACAATCATACATGTATGCACTTGCACACACATACACAATCATACATGTATGCACTTGCACACACATACACAATCATACATGTATGCACTTGCATGCATAGATATAACACACAATCATATACGTATACACATAAACACATCAACATATACACATACACACAATACACACATACATGCACGCACATGCACATGTATACCCGCACACAATTATACATGTACACACACATGCATAGATACACAATCATACATATGCACACACATACACAACCATACATGT